TTTGGAATTGCAGGGTTTTATATCAATAGCAAGGTGGACACAAAGGTAGAGCTCGCAGGTTACCTATAAAAGCTGATATTCGTAAAGCATTATGCTTTCCTGGTGGTTCTACACTCATGATTTGCCATCTAAGGATGGGATTTTCAGCTGACGCTACTAACTCTATGAAGTGTCTTCCCTCACAACAACGTCAGAATTACTTGACATTTGGAAATGACAAGAACGACCAGCTTAAATTTACAGGACAGTTACACATTGATTTGAATCTTTCAAACAACTCTACTGATAGAACAGATAATATGGAAACTAGTCATCCCAGGCTTTGGTGAATGATGGATTTTCAAAAGAATCTGATGAATTGAGCGGTGCGTTTTCTCCTGGTATATCTTTTAATCTGTCTGTCTGGGCGTCTCCCTCTCCTATTTGGGGATATTTTCTGGAGTCTAATAGTTTTTTAAAATTGGAGGGAGCAACTGTAGTCTCTTTGCTTAGGTCTATTTATTGTATATTCTATAATCTTTTGCTCTATAAACAAGATTTGATGGTTGCAATTATTTGCTGGTGCAGATGGTGAAACACCACCCGCTATTGCAGGACTTGCAAACGATGAAGTTGATGCTGAAATGAAGGATTGTTCTAATTCCACAAAAGTGCAAAGAGGACCTGGGAAGCTCTTTGTCATCCTTAAAGTCAAAAAGAGTGAAAGGTTGCCATTTAGTTGATGATAGATCTGAGTCTAGCTGGGGTTTCGTGTCAGAGGTTGATAGGACTAATTCTTGTTTTGTGGGATGCTCATGGGGTGTTTCGAGCGGAAAAAGTTCAGTAGAGCTTCCATATGGTGACTCTTTGATTGTCCAAGAAAAGAATTCTGAGAAACTCAAAGGGGATTATTTAGATTTAGAAGCTCAAGTCAACAATGAACAGCTATCAACTAAACAATGCTTTAGAATCATGCTGATGAATATTGCTGATGATGCTAAGAAAATGCACCTTACAAAGGTATGTTTGATAGTTGCATTACCAGAGAAATTCTCATGTACGGGATTGGCAGTACTGGGTACTGGCATGTCGCTTTAATTGTCCTTTATGTCGGAATACGCTTTGCTTCTTCTGAACGAATCAATCTTCTTCCTTGTGAGGACTGATTCACCATAGTTGGGAGGAACAAAGTTTTTAGAAATCAAATTGTGTCAAACTGAATCTTTTTGAAAATTATTTTCTCTAGTAATGTGATAAATTCCTGGAGATTTTGTCACGTATGAAGCCTTGACGATATTCTTCTTATAAATAGGTAATTGAAGCCCTTGGTGGCACTGTTACCTCTGAAGGAAGCATGACCACACATATTGTCACAGGCAAAGTGAGGAAAACTTTGAATTTCTGCACTGCCCTCTGCTCAGGGTTAGTTCTAAACGTCCATTTGCCTAGCTTCATAGAGAAAGTATTTGTGGATGAAATATATTGTTTAAATAGTTTTCATTTGCGGCTAGAGCTTTTGAGATTATCGGAGTCTCTGTTTTTCTGGTTTAATTTTGATATGTTGATGCTACGCATATCTCTTGTTTCTTGAATGAAGCGGATTAATTTGTTTCGTCATCTTTGATCACCTTTGAGTATGAGTGTTTTGAATCTTGCATGTTTTTCGGTCATGCGCATGTTTTCCTTATATACCACCTAAATAATCTTATCTAACTTCTGCATAGTTATTTTTCATCTTATTTTAATTTAATTGCTGATATTCCTGAAAAGTGTTCACAATTTGCCAAGATCTTAAAATTTTAACAGTGCACTTATTTGCAGAATAAATGTTCTTTTTTTCCAAGGTTAATATAAACTTTAGTCCCTCAAGTTTGCCCTCATATTTGTTTTGGCCCTTAAGTTTTAAACCATAAATTTTGGTTGCTCAGGAGGCAAAATAGTCTAAGTATGTATTAGATTATAGGGATCAATGTTACAAATAAAAAGAAACTTGAGGGATCAAAACCAATGAAAAGCAAACTTGAGGGACCCAAGTTTGTATTAATTCCTTTTTTCAACTATTAATTCATTATTGTCTTGAGATTTTTTTTAAATTTGCTTCTTTTCGGCTTATTTCTTTTAATCAAGTAAAGTTTCCAGTAGATCATGTCAACCGACAGCAGATAATACAGAGAGCACTTTTTGCAAGATCACTTCATGGGAAATGAAGCCGTGCCGATGCACTTAAATGCACACTATCTTAAGATATCTATGGTGAACAATGAGTGGCAAAACTAAACTAGTTACTGGACGATGCACGTCAAAATACAAACCTAATAAAAAAATGAAATAAATTGATTAATGTTTGTAGTTTTGTCATCACATGGTAGTTCTCTTTCTTATTTTATTAATTTACTAAGCACTGGCTTCTGTTTTGTTTCACGCTTGATGTGATTGGTGTTGTGCATATGATAGTATCATACACTTCCAGTCTTTAATGTAAAATCTATTTAACTAATTTGATGAAATTAAGGAAGTTATGTAAGTTAGTTAATTTGTTTTCTAAAATACTATAATCATCTCTTAATATCTTTTCTCCCTCTCTTACCTGATTATGGTTGAGGTATTGAAAAAAAAAGGAGTTATACACAACTCATGTGGATGTTACTACACAGGGCATGGGTGGTCTCATCAGATTGGTTAAAAGAAAGCTGTCGTGAAGGCAAATTTATTGGTAAGTCAAGCCAACTATCTAGTTTAATATCTTTTATTCATTTGGCAATATAACCACTCGTTATTTTAAATCAATATGCATGATTGGCTTACATATTAGATGACAAGGATTACCTATTGAAGTACAGATCTGATTTAAAAAGTGCAGTTTTCCGTGCAAAAGCCAACCCCCGAGCTTTATTCAAGGGGTACAACGTGTGTATTGCAGAGCATGTTCAACCTCCTGCTAAAACACTATCTGCAATTGTGAGCTCTGCTGGTGGCATTGTGAGTATAGTATTTAGACTGAAATCTGAATATGGTTTAAGAAAACTATAGAGTATGTGTTTGGAAATCCCCCCCCCCCTCTTGGCTTAGTAGAATATTGCACCTTATAAGCGTGTATTGTACTGAGAACTAACCATATGAAACATTTGAATACCAATTCTGACATGGTGCGACACACGCAGGCATATGCGCGCACGCACATGAAAACATGTTGTTTGACCTCTCTCTCTCTCTCTCTCTCTCACACACACACACACACACACACTGTTTGACATATCACACCCAATCATAAAAGCAGTGTTTGACCTCTTAAGGATGGTTTGCTTCATTCTTTTCCCGTTCTCCAATACTCAAAAGTTCCAAAATTCAATTCTATTAAGAATAGTGCTCTGAAGATTTCTATTCTCAAAAGGTTAAGCTGTTTTGCTATTAGTTCTAATTTAAGATTCTCGTTTTAACTATATCAAGGTTAGAATTTCAAAGTGAACTGAATATTGGAAAAGCTGAATTCCTTGAAAGATAGATTTCTCCAGTCTTATCTTTGTTTTTCTTAGCAAACCACCCATATCTGGAGTTAGGCTCCGACTAATTTGGATCAAGCTGGGTCGTGCTTCAAAAATGAGGTAGCTTTCTCAAAGATGTCTTTTAAATCCACAAACCTGAACTCAAAATATCTTGTGGTTTCATTACATTATCTTTTAGGTTACCTAAAGTGGTGATGAGTTTTTTGGAATTCACAACTAATCACTCGATGAGCCCTTTGGGAAGTGGTACCTTCAAATTCCATGGCCAATTGAAATTTTTAATCATATAAAGTTTCCTTAATGCCAAGCATAAGCCCTTTATCTTTTCCTATTTATTAGGAGCTATTTTCTTTACATACAGCAGGGAAAAACTTGAGAGTTGTCTTGCATCTGCTTCCTGCTCACTTAAGTTTTGCTTGCTTATAGATAAATATATTCAATTTGTCACAAATTCCACTGTTTTTGTATATCAGGTTATTCGTGGGTTGAAGAAAGTAAATGAAACATCCTCAACCATTTTTGTGACATGTGAAGAAGATATGGAAGAAGCAATGGTAGCTGCAAAGAAGGGGATCCGAACTTTCAGTAGTGAGTGGTTTATGAACTGTGTCATGAGACAAGAACTTGACATGGAGGCCTTTCAGTTTGCAGAGTCCTTATGAGGATGGTGACTTGCCGAGTGATGATTAACATGATTTCTTGTGATGCAGAATTAGACCATATCTATCGTCACCCATGTATATTTTTTGCCTCATGGATTCATACCCCTAAAGAGAGAGTTCTAGTGCAACTCGAAATTTGACCATGCGGGTAATATGACAAGGTAGCCCCGCCGGCGATTGTTCTAGTTTTGGGCTTGTAACTGGATTTATCGCTGATTTTGCCAGAAACGTTGCAAATCTACTTGAGATGTATAGAGAAAGAGACCTGTGTGGTTGGAGAAATGGAAAAAAGATCTTGTTATCCTTACTGTATTTCATTGGCCAATGCTCATCAGATCTAGAGGTCTGAATTTTTTTTATTTTTTAAATAATTATTTTAATAGGTATAAGATAAAAAATAAAAATAATCTCTAATTATTATCTTTTAAAAATATAATTTTTTTATATTTTAAAATAATTATTTAATAATATTAAATCTGGACTGTCCAGATTACTCATCAGGTGATGAGTATTGGGTGCTCATCACTTGATGAGCATCGAATGGGGACTCGTTCTGTTAATCTCGTTTTTAAATTGTCAATCTTAATCATTTCCCCTACTTTTTTGGCCTCGTCGATCTTAGTATAATGATGATGATAAACGGAATTTTTCGCCCACAGACAAGCGGCAAGTAAAAACACCAGTTTTTCCTGTCTTTTTTTAAATTTTTTTAAAGAAGTTACCTTGATTGTATATATAAAGCCGTATACGAATTTTTTCAAGCATTAATTTTCTTAACTAAATCGATGAATTAAGGGGCATTTGATTTTTTTTTTTATAAAAAAAATCGGCACATGAATTTATAAAATAAATAAGGATGGATTAAGAAAGTCGAGAAAATTTTACATATTAAATACTTCATCTTTTCAAAATAATCATTTCTTAGGTATTTTTCTCTCTTATTCTTTTTCTTAGAAAAACCCTTTTAGGATATTTTTTCAAAAAATATATTGATTGACTATGAAACATTTCATAAATAAAAATATCATAATCTTCTGAAAAAGTCTTCTAAAGAGAAGAAAGAATGATATACATTGAAATGAAGCTTGCGTTGCGTATGCGAATATTATTATATATTTGTGTCTATGTATTTGTTCACATATATTAATTTATTCGAATTTAAAATAAATTAAATATACTGTTCTTTTTTTTTTTCACCAGCAAATTAAATATAATGTTCACAAGTTATGAACGAAAAAGAAATTATAACTTATTCTTCAATTTTCATTTTCCCGGGTGGCATTATACTCGCCCAACCTTGCCCCTCATTTCTCAATTCTTTTTTATTTAGAAGCAGTTGGCGGCAACTAACGAGGGCAATTCACTATCCACTCCCCCGTTGTGGTTATATTGTAGTCCACTTGTCGTCATTGGCAGCGAACATCTTTCTGAAATGAATTTGAAGATAAGAATCTCAAGGTTAGAGGGTGCACGGAAGGAGGAGGAGAGCAGTTGGGGAAATAGCTGTAGCGTCCAAACGTAGCAATGGCGACCATCGCCTCTGATCGTGCTTGTGTAAGAAGCTCTTATGATTCTTCGGCTTCCTTCGGTGCCAAATTGCAGGATGCTCTGAGGAAGAAAAAGCCACGTACTCAGCTGGGAATTAGAGCTTGTCATTCCATGGTTGACAGGAAAAAAGTCTACGAACAAGTGGGTCTGTTCCATATTGCTTTCTTTGCACGCAATAGCGTACAGGAACTATAAATGATTTCAGATTTCTGTGGTTCATGTCTGGATTATACTGAAATGTTTGTCAATGGACTCAGTTCCTCTAATTAAATAATGTGTGATTGACTAACTGAGGATAGAAACGGAAGGAGGCATCTTCTGTTTAAGCTTTTAGTAGATAACCAGGGCTAGTGCTCGGCTGTGTGTTTTCTTTCTGGAACGGTTTCTCTTGATGTTTGATTATGGAAGAAATAAGCATTATTTCGCGATAACTGGGGCAAGAATGTGAGTTGATGGTGTTATTTTGGACATTGGTTGATGTGATAATAGGCTTTGTAAGCGTAATATTTACTTTGCTATTAATGTTTTAATGTGGACAATGGTAGCCTATGGACATTTACCTTTTTAGATACCCCCTCTAACCCAAATTAGAAATCATTTTTAACCATTTTACGCTTACCAATAAAGTTTGTTGTTGTTAGTTAAATATATTAAACTTCTCAAAAATTACATTTAACTTTCCAAAAGTACCCTTATTAAATAGTAACCTCATATAAATGATGTCTCTCTTGATTTCTCTCATAAATAAGGGTAAATTTGAGGGAAAAAGACATTTAATGCTCACCGCATTCTATAAAATGACTTGCATTTTGAATATCTCAAATGGTCTTGAATATAACTTACATTTTGGGATGGAGGGAGTAACTAGTAGCAGTGACATTTGATTTGATGGCCTAGAAACTTAAGGCATGATAATTCAATGGCTTGGTGGAATTTGAGAAAAGGTACTAATCAGATGGAAAAGCTACTTGAGCTGAATTACAAATTAATATAAACCCTTTAGGTCATGCTAGTTGCACATACAATATGTGGGGAATCATGCATATATTTTCCCTTTGGAAAAGTGATGCCGTGTGCAACAGCGGTGGCCTTCATCAAACTTGTAGATTGTCAGTTGCTAATTTCTTTATCTCCCTTTTTTCTAGACATAACTTCCTGAGTTGGCCCTCAATTTTATGTTATTGACACCTATTCTGCTAATTTGGCTGGCCAATGCTAAGCCATTGAACCAATTTTAAATAAGGAGTTCTATTAGGCTAGCAACATTTACTATTTGTCTGATGCTTACTTCTTTGGTGTCCATTGTTTCTGACAACCTACTGAAATAAATACAATCAGGTTTATTTTCTCTAAGAAGGAAAATTGAAGATGCAGTTCTTCGTGCTGAAATGTTTGCACCTACAGCCTTGGAAATGGAAGAAGCAAGATGGATTGAGCAAGAAGAAATGATACGTAACTATAATCTATGGGATGATCTTAATAAGTCCAATGACATTCTGCTCAAGTTAGCAAAGAGTGCCAAAGTAGTTGATGCTCTTAAGGACTTAAAATATAAGGTTATCCTCTTTTCACATCAATTTCATCAGAAGTTTGGTTGTGATTCTTTTTTTCCCCCTACCTATTTGAAACAATTGGTTGCTGATGATTTGTTGGCTTATGAATTTCTGATTTTTTGGAATCTTGTAAATTGATTAATGATAATTGTGATATAGCAATGAATTTAAGAATGAAACATGGATAAATAAATTAATGAGCCATAATAGTTGGAATGCTATTCTATGAAGCTTAGTGATATGACTAATGTTATGAATGACATCTTTTATTATTCAGCATTCATTCATAGTCGTAGCCACTATAAACTTCCTTTTGTAGTAGAGTTCTCCAATCTTCATTCGACCAATCCCCTGAAACCACAATGTGGTGAATGCTTGGATTAGGAATTCTGATATCCTAGAGAAGGCTAGCTAGTATTTTGCTTCCTGATGAAGTCATAACATGACTGCCCTCACAGCTTCAGCATCCCAAAAGACATAATGTTTGCTGTAACCAGTAAAAGCATGTAGCTAATCTCATTCTAGTTTATATTCTTACACGCTTTTTTTCTTTTTTATTTTCGTTTTGCAAAAAATAAATGATTCAGTGTTCTATGTTTTGGTATTCTGCAGGTGGAGGAAGCAAAGCTGATTACTCAGTTGGCTGAGATGAATGCTATTGATTATGGGTTTTATAAGCAAGCATATGAGGCATCTTTGGATGTAAGCAAGATTCTGGATCGATATGAGACGTCTAAGCTTCTTAAGGGCCCATTTGATCTGGAGGGAGCTTGTTTGATCATTAAAGCTGGGACTGGCGGCGTCCGTCATAAGGTTTGATAATCATATGTTTGCTCTTGGCACTTCTTTATGGTAATGAACCTCCATGCTTAGTTTGATCTTGTTTCAAGGAGTACACAGTTGGAACTAAAGTTAACATCACCCCTCGTATTCTTGTTAGAACCTAAATGCTTAATTTTCCATATTGCTGTATCCATAAACACCAAATGCTTCTTTAGTCCTTTCTACAGCAGTTTAATTCAATATGCCAATTTAATCAGGCTTTATATTTTTCAAAGCATACTCTCACATATGTGAGGCAAATTGTTGACAGATATTCTATAAGCCTGAAAATTCATTGAATGTGTGGATTTTTGTATTGTTTTTCCCAATAAAACTGAATGTTCAAAATGAGCTATTGTAAAGCTGGGTTGTTGACAGTCCAAACTGTGATCCAATATTATCTGCGCTCTGGCTATTTATTTACATGTACTTCTGGCATTCTTTGACCCACTTTTGCGTAAATACAGCTTTGGGCAGAACAGCTTCTAAGTATGTATCTTAAGTGGGCCAAAAAGCAGGGTGATGAAGGAAGAATAGTTGATAGATGCCTGTTCAAGAATGGTGGCATTGCCTCAGCAACTGTAGAATTTGAATTTGAGTATGCTTATGGTTATCTTTCAGGAGAAAAAGGAGCTCACCACATGATAAGGAGTTCTTTGGATGAATCTTCTCTGCTGGAGGTGACTTTCCTATGCCATGGACTATATCTTAAAATTCACTTCCATTCATGCACCTAAGAAAAGTTTGCATTTGTTCAAATTTGTCCTTGCATAAACCTTTGTGCTTCTTTAAGTGGATATGGACCAAATTTGCTGATTTCACTCTAAGATGTTTTTAAGGAACTTTTCATTTTGTCAGGATTATGATAATCAGGTTAAAAAATTGATGAAAATAAAGAATGTTTTGGAATTGAAATGGGATTTGATCATTAATCAATACTTAAAAATACCGACTGACTGACGGATTTGATAACATTTGAATGGAAGATTCTGTTTACATCTTAAAGCTGTCATTTATGTAATCTTGATTGATCTGCATACAGAATGAGGTTCGGCTGCTTTATTGCCATATTACTCTTTACCCTTTTGCACTAAATAATGAAATTTTAGGGCCATTTTTGTTCGCAAAAATTAAATTTTGCAGGGCAGCCCAGCAGTTAAGCATGTGGTTCCCGTGTTCCTTGAAAAGTCATCTGACTTGGAAATTGATCATGAGGATTTGATATCATCTTTCTTAGCAAAATTAAATTTTGTAGGCCAGCTCAGCAGTTGTGGATGTTGTTCCGATGCTCCTTGAGAATTCATCTGACATGGAAATTGATCATGAGGATTTGATTATCTCATCGCCTTCAAGTGTTGGAGAACAGAAGAGCCATACTAGGTCAAGAGTTTGCATTCAGCATCAACCTACTGGGATAAGTGCGGAGTCCGCAGGTACTCACTTACATACATGTTTAGTTTCACGTTATAGTGTTATTCACTTCCTGTCCAGAATCTTGTGTCAGAATTTAATGCTCTAGTAGTTTAAATCAGAACCTCCATTTGGATTTTGAAATTTGATATGAACTTCCCTAGATGTTGAAGCTTAGCATGTTGGGCAGGTGAGAGAACCCTCTTTGCTAGTAAGATGAAGGCGCTTAACAGACTGAAATCTAAACTTGAAGTGATAGCAAGGGAACAAGGAGTTTCCGGGATAAGTGGTATTAGGAAAGATGCCATTGTGAATCTATGGCAAGAAGAAGCTCGCAGATATGTCTCTTATCCGTACAAGCTAGTGCATGATGTAAAGACTGGCATTGAGGTGCCAGACCTAAATTCTGTTTTGGAGGGCAATATTGGATCCCTCATTGCAGCTCATATTAATATCAGAAACTCCTGTCATAAGGTCTAAATCTCCTAGTCCCCATCAATACAAGTCCCTGATCCCAGGTTATTTCAGCAGTTGGTTACACAGTCAATGTTCAAAAAACATGAAAAGAAAAAGGGAAAAGAAGAGCACATTGCTTATATTCTATATTTTCTTCATGTTGGAACTTTCTAGATCAAAACTTCGATTTCTTGGTGTCATGGGAGAAAGCAAAGGAAGCATCAATCCGTCATATTCTTAGACTGATTGCTGACTTAAATAACGTGTCGTTATGTTTTACATCGTTAATGGGATCATGCCAGAGCCCCTTCTTTCTGTCTGTTGAATTCCGTTTGTGTATATATAAAAAGACTTTTTCTAGGCCTTTCCGAAATTTTGGCTTCATGGTGAGAGGCTGAGGCTGAGAGCAATACAGTGTCACCATCAAGTCACGCGATAGAAACTGCACTCCTCTGTTGAACCCCCAAAAAAAAAAAAAAGATTTTTTAAGCTATTCTTTAGAGAAAATCACAAAAAAAAAACCGTTAAAATAAAAAAAAATTACACACATGGATCTGTTCATAAAAATTGTTGTCAAAACCCATATTATAAAACTTATAGTAATATTGTTGTGGGTTTTATTTGTAATTTTTTTATTTTGGCAGTTTTTTTGGTTATTTTTTTCTTATTCTTTCTATTTTATATTTAAACTTATGTAAGCCTTTCTCAAAATCAAAGGCTGTCTAAAACGGGTGTCTTTCTATTTTTAAAATTCTATTTTTATTTAAATATGTGTTAGTTAAAATGACATTTCAAACACATATATTGAAAATTTAGTGAATGACAAATTTAATATAACAAGGGACACATTAATTAACATAATTTATATTATTTTATTTTAATATACAATTTTTTAAAACATTTATTTAAATATTCTTATACTTAATTATTTAAAATTCTTTTTTAATTGGAGGGAGATGGGGATAAACAATTGGTTTATGAAGACATAATTTTAAATAACAAAATTCAATTATTTTAAGATCTTTAATATAATATTTTTATCCGTATTAAATAAAAATGAAAGGAGGTCAATAAATTTACAAATAAGTATTTTTTATCCCAAACTATAAATTTCTATTGGGAGGCATGTCGTAGATAAATTATTTTTTCTCATACCATCCTATTTTAATTCCAATGGTTTTTCATTATGAAAAAAGAGGGCAACGGAAAAGGCTACTCGTTGGGCTAAAAGGTTGGTAACTGATAAAATGTCTTTAATTTTTTATTAATTGAAATACAGTTTCGCCATTTAATACTGAAAAGGCCGGCGGGCTAGTGAGATTTTCAATTTTTTTGGCTAAGAAAAGAATGTTAATTAAAATCTTGTAAGAAATTAAAAAATTCCAATAAAAATTGATAAAGAAATTAAAAGTAAATAATTAATTTTAAAATTAATTTGTAACAGAAAATCTGTTTATAATTTTTTATTCTTAATATTCAAGAAAAACTTTTTCCAAGCAAAAAGAGACTTTTATGATTTTTGGTGTGAAAAAGTTCCTTTGTTTTGCTGGGAAAATAGTTCACTAAATAAGAATTTGGATAATATATGCTAATCAATGGGCAATTATAGTTCACGACTGATAATGCGCGGGAGATTATACAGCAAAAGGCAAAAATTGATAGGAACAACAATCCCAGCTGGAACAATACGGGTGATTAACTGATTATAATTTGACGGCAACGACCAAAAATTGACGGTAATAATGGGTGCTTTGGCGCGCCCTTCGATTTGGCGCCGGGAATTTTTCTTTCGGCCATTATTTCCTTTCTGGAATAAACTGCATCAGAAGAACCCTGAATCCATCATGGAACATGTTGGGCGGCGCCGTTAGTTTGATCTTCGTGTGTGAGTAAAGAATAGTTGATCACTTTAGTAACTAATCTTCTGTTCTGTTTTCTTTTTTTAAATTATCAAAATTGTACTTAACCTCCGTGTAACTCTTAGGTGATCTCCAATGGCAAACTTGTTCTGTTTGGAGAATCTGGGAATGGGAGAGCTTAGCGCACGCGAATGCTTTTCTATTGCCCTCAAGCCTGGCGGTGGAACTTGTTTAGAGGTATAAATCAAAGTACCGACCTGTTAGCCCTGGTATTAGCTCCCACCAGATTTTATACATTAAGATATAGATATTCAAAGAATCACTTTCCAGTTTTTACATGCTTCAACTGTACGATTTTTCCCTTATCTTTCTGATTTAAATGAAATGATGATATTAAACTCGACAATTTCGTTCACTTAACATTTTTATTTACAACTGATATTCTCTCTCTGTTTTTTTTTTTTAATCATCGATTCTAGTCATAAAGAGTAAGATTCTTGATTATCAAATCTCTTTGGAGGAGCGGATCAAAATTAACCATGTTGCATCAATTAGCTCAGCAAGTAATAGATCTCCTTGACCCTTCAGATTTTTGTGTGAAGGTCTATCGTCAACACTCATATGGGAAATCTTGAAGGGGCTTACGATGATGTATAATACTGTGCACAGCAGAATAGAGGTGCATTTGAATTGAACGCATTAATTGTAATATCGCTCTTTCGGTCCTTTCTAGTTACTCATCAAGAAAATAATGTGGCATGACAGTGTTTCATCTCATCACCCCACAAGGGGTTTTAGTTGTTTAATAACAATCAAATTCCTTTTCTGGTTTATACACTCGCACACGCCCCAATTTGCTACTACTTAAAGTTGCTTTTCAGGAGGATAAAATGATGCTCCTCCGGTTCTTAATATAAGACCCATTTAACTAATTTGATTAGATTAAAGAAATTAGGTAAGTTAGTTAATTATAATAAATGTGACACGTTTTTCTTAAAAATACCATAATCATCTTTCTTAATACTCTCTCTTCTTCTTCTACTTGATTATGGTTGAAAGAGTATTTATAGGGGTAATTTAGAGAAAATTGATAAATATAAAAAATAAGTCTTATATTTAAGATCAAAATCAACTCAACAATTGGGTCCTATATTAAGGGCCGGAAGAGTATGTTTTAACCCCATTGGCTTGTTATGGTAATATACTTTCGGAAAATTAAATGGTCTATGATAACCTGGTGTCATCTAGATGCATAACTCTGTCAAGTTCATCCAGCTCTAATATCTTTGAATAACGCTGGTAAAAAAAAAAAAAATCTTTGAATAACTACCTGCCCGAGATTAAGTGAGAATAATTTTTAGCCATTAAAATGAGACATGTCTTTCACCACGGAGAGAGAGAGAGAGAGACCTATGCCTGGCTGTGCTCATATTTTTATCACGCTGGGGTGTTGCTGAACTTAAAGGTAACAAATTGGAGGGATCTGGGGTCTATGAAAACGAGGTGTGATGTTTCATCCATTTTGGCTTCCTTTAGCTGTTCTTTACATCACCGAATGTTTTTTGACCGTCTTACCCTCGGGTTTGAGTTTTTCTTTTGCCCCTCATTCTTCAAGGTAAATAGGTTGGAGGGATCTTGTGTCTATTAAATAGAGGTGTGAGACTATTCTGCATTCCTCTTTGGTAGGCCCCAAAGGAATATATTCTGCTTTGTGCCATGCTCATGCTGAAGCAATTCTCAAGTTCCATTAGTCAATTATGTTTACAAAAGTTTTCCACTTTTGTTATGGCGATACAAGTATTGTTGCCCCAGATGAAGTCAATGACCAGAACCATTTTGTCCGCTCTGTATTCATATTTCAGTGCTTGTTAGTTGTTACCTGCTAGGAAGCAGACATGACAATTAAAGGAACAAGTGATGACTATATGTTTAATTTTTAGCTACAGCTGAACCAAATATGCCTTTTGATATTTGAGATGTGTTCTGCATCTTTCTGCTTGCATGTTTCCTTTTTCTCCTCTGCGTTTCCAATAATCCCATTCGTAGGTCGACTTTGCTATTATAATAGAAGTCGGTCTTGGAGGCAAAGAAGCCTGGACCGGTGTGGTATAGTTTCACTAGTTCCTGCATTCACAGAACCACAGCATTCCGAAGCAGTGGATATTATTCTTGAGAGGGCCAATGAACTCAAGGTAATCTTTTGTTTTCGGGAAAACTCCAAACAATGCAAAAACAGGTAAAAGAAAGAGAACTACCTAGACCAATATTTCATCGTTCACCTTCCTTTGGCTAGGCGGGAAATGATAAAAGAGAATAGAATGATGAATCATCAATTTAAAATCACGAGAAATAAAATAATTTATTTTTCTCTATTTAAATTTTATTTTAATATGGTATTTTTTAAAATTCTATTTTATATTTCTTAACTGAATATTTTTATCACTATCAGCTAAAAACATAAGGGAGGTCAATATATTTAAGGGAGGTCAATATATTTACGAACAATTACTTTTTTTAATCTTTAACTTCTAATTTTACATCAAATTATAAATTTTTATTCAAAGATATGTCTTAAATAAATTATTTTTTCTCATGCCACGGATTTTAATTCACATGGCTTTTCATTACGAAGAAAGAGGGCAATCGGAGTAATTTACAATATTAACTATTCTTGATTCAGGCGAGATATTCCAACATTTTCTAGAATTGGACATGTTTTTCTAATTTAAAAGGTTTGCTACTGATAAATGGTTTCTAGAAAAATAAATTTTCACCATTTGGAATTAAAGCTGGCTTGTAATAATTTCAGTTTTTTCCCAATAAAAGATTTTCAATTTACATCTTGTAAGAAATTGAAAAATTTCCGCTATAACTTTTTAAAGAGGTGAAAATGAAATAATTAATTTTAAAATTATCGTTTATTATTAATGATGACAGAAAACTTCGTAAGATTTTTTAACTCTTAATATTTAAGAAAAACCTTTTTTCCTAAGCAAAAAAAGATTTTTTTTTTAAAAAAATTATTTTCGGGAGAAGAAAGTTCATGGAATCAGAAACGGCTAGTTTGACTCGAACGGGCAAAAGGGGATTGAGGAGTCCAGCAGGAATTTGGAGGACAGAGGAAGGCAGTTTGGCGCGGAATGGTTTTTCAATGTTCTCCAAACCCGCCAGGCAAAAAATTCTTGGCGTCTTTTTGGCGCTTATTTGTAACGCCTGGAAGTTGGGGTGGCCTTGGGGAGGTATCCAAGACGAGGGAAGCGGTAGGGTCAAAACTTTCATTTGTGTTGGTATTTATCTTATCTTCCGGTAACTGTTGTATTAGTGCGATTCGTTTCATCCCTTTAAAGCGATAGGGTTAGTTCTAAAATGCAAACGTTATATGTTTCTGATCCCTTTGAATGTGATGGTTAGCCATATTGAATTAAAATGTATTATCAAGTTGCGTCAGCACGAATATGTTGACATGGTGTTGAAACTTGTGTTATATCAGTTATGTTTTCTGTTTCAAATGCAG